GACAGCAAAAAAATTTGAACATATTGTAGAAAAGGGAGAGACGAAAAAAATGACGATATCATTCGCGATTGTTTGTAATACAAGACGGTAGCCGACACAATGTGTGCGCTGCACCTGCAACATATGGGTCACATTGTATTAGTAATCATCCTCTTTATCACGCAGACAACGCGATACGACACGTTTATGTTGCATATGACCGTGGAACTAATTGTCTCATGTGTTGTTCGAGTGCGTGATGAAGTTTCGAGAGCAGAAAGGGCGAAGAGCTTTCGTTGATCTGGTCTGCGATCGTGCCTTCGGTTCATCTTTCCGGCGCACTTACATACGTGGCGAGTCTTACGTAAAAAAGCCCGTATCTGTAATCAGGAAATTACTCAACAAACTGCCGTTCACGTCAACGACATAAGTGACGTAGGCGACGACGCGGCTGCGACGCGATCGGTTATGCAAATTGGCGACGAGTCTAGAAGTGGCGGATAAACGGAGAATCATCAGAGATGTCTTCGTATTTCCGATGGATAAAGAGCGGAAAGAAGGATGATGCGTTCGGAGCAAAGCCGCGGAGCCGTTCCTTGGATGCTAAGAGCCTTGAAGCATCCGGCATTCGGCTGATTTTGCAAAACGTACTTACGTCTTAGACTCGATTTTTTTTGTCTCTAAACCAGAGCTGCCTAAAGGCTATTTTACAATGTGCTTTTTTCTTTTTGTTTTGTGCTTTTTACCACTTTTTATCTTTCACCTTTTTGCCTCTTATTCTATCTCCATGTTTTCGTTCGAGATAAAATTTGACGAATTTCGGAAGAAATAATTTTGTCTGCAAATAGTTTTGTGTCGTAAAATATAATCTTCCCTCTTTAAAATACTTTTTTAATTATTGCGCTATGATTTTTTTTTCCACTTTATTTATGATGATGTAAGGGTGGGCAGTGCATTTTTAGTAGCTTATTTTCTTTAAAAACTTGTATCGCGTTTTGCTGCAATAATTCGAGTTGCCTGTATTTCTGAAAGTTGTTTTCTTGACTTAAATTAAATAAGGACTCTTAATTAAAAAAAAAAAAATTAGAAAGGTATAAGAGTTAATAACGTAAATCACATAATATAAAATCACAAAACGAAATATATCGTACTTTTGGAAATTAAAATTTGAATAATTGCATGCTTCGGCTTCTAGATTGAGCCCTCTTCAGATATTCTAATCAACGCAGTAGTGTTGTTTAAGATGAACCCAATAACAGATATGGATAATGATATATATGCATTAGATGAGGCCAGATGAGATTATTGACTCTTATAAGCCCTTTCTAATCTTTAATCGTTTCTTTTGTTTTCTTGACATTGAAGCTATTTTTTGATATAAAGATTTTACTTCTCTAAATTTACTATGCACACAATTGTTGCGAATACACATCATGGATTCGTCATTCGACATTGATATCATAATCATTCGTAACAATGAATTCTAGATGGTTCGATACAACTTCGTGACAATTACAATTTTAACTGCCATGAAGTTGTTACGAATTATCATATCATTGTCGAATGCATGGTGTACATTTGCAAGAATTACACGCGAGTAAAATTACGCGTATAATAAATTTAAAATTTTGGTAAAGAGAAAAGACAAGAGAGTTAATAAAAAGCAAGAAACAGAAAGTAAAGGGCACATTGTAGATTAATCTTAAGATTTGTAATTTTCTACATTTTGACTCTCGGTGTACGTGTATATATATATATATATATCATACCTATTGCTTTCCTTTTTTCTATTTCAATTGAAAAAAAGAAGGCAATAGGCATGAATATTAATACTTCTTCTTTATCTTCATTTCCACATCTTTTTCTTCATATTTTTCTTTATCTTCATTTTGACGGTTTTCGGAGAATAGCATAGTCAGTTGTATCTCACAAATGCATGAATTAAACTCGACAGAAATTTCCTTCTCTTACGAAGTAAGAATACGTCTATCCTGGCTGAGTCATCCAACATTGTATATCGATGTACGTCAAGCCGATGCCTACAATTACAAATCTTGGACAGTACTGTTCTAAATTGTAATATTTTTAGTGGCATTTGCAATGAGATTTTGAGATGTAAAAGCTTTAAGCCTAAAAAATTGACCAGCCGTAGTCGATTATTCTCCTTACTATTCAACTCCTTAATATTCAACTGTGATTGATCAATTTCTTATGAGACTTAAAGCTTAAGTTTTGCGCTTTGAAATTTCATTGTAGACTTAAAGCGATGGTCGCTTCGATGCTTTATTTTCGATATCGTAGATATTATCAAAAAGTTACATTTGCTGTTCATCGAGATTGTAAACAGAAACGTGCGATTGTTTAGAATGTAGAACTAGATTGAAAGGAATCTAGATTGAAAGGAATCTAGATTAAAAGGAAACGCTCAAACGTACAAAAGACTAGCGTTCAAGTGTGCTTGTGATACTCGGGGAAGGTATCACTTCACGGCTATAATTGTAGAAAGTATAAATTTAAAATAATTTATGTAGTAACGTTCCGCGATATTTGCATGTCGCCAAGATTTCTCCGCGCTGCAATTTCAATGAACAGGAATGTATTTGCGTAGCAAATGGACTTCAGGTATATATGGAAAATACGAGACGATTTGCGACCATTGCCAGGCGGCAAATTAAAAATTCCTCTCCGTGTAAAATGTGACGAATGCCGACTGACTTTCGTTTTCCCGTTTTCTGTTTCAGCGAGCGGCGGTGCAGCACCAGTCACAAGTAGCGTCGCAGAGTAAGTAGCTGTAATTAAATTGCCTGTTAAGATTTGTTTAATCTCATTGTTAAGAAAAGGCACAACGAGATAATGCGTCGGCAGATAAGAGATCTATTTTTATTCGGTGGACGAGGGGGTTTCATGAAGTGTCATTGAATTATTTCTTCAACTGTTAACGCACACCAAGGATGCACGTGGAATATTAATTTCTGCTCGACATTTGTTCGATGTTTTTGCGAGGGAGCCGAGTGTGAATTGATTCTCCTTTTTCACATGAGCGCTTATTCGAGATTGGTGCCGTCATCTATTCGACACGGCGTCACGTCGGTAATTTATTGTGAATTATCGACAAATATTCTGTATTTACACGCAACAATCTGAACATTTAGTACAATGGATGAAATATTAGAAACAGGAATAAATATTAAATATTAGAAATAAAAAAATTAGAGATAAAGATTAACGTACAATATAAGATATATATATTCATATTTCTTATTTATATCTATTGTGAGTTACGTTAATCTCTAATCTCCTAATTTTTTACTTTTCAATATTTAATATTTGTTCCTGTTTCTAATATTTTTCCATTGCGCCTCATATTTTGTTACTAATTTTAACGATTTACTGAAATCTTACGTTTATTTAAATATCTTGTAGTTATTTAAATAACTTGAAAATTTTTGATGTATGTTTTATATACACATGTGTGTGTATGACATATAAATATTATAAATATGTACATAATTTTTATATATATATAATATTAAAATATATATAAGAATTGTG